TATTTTGTTACACTGAGTATTTTGTTACACTGTGTATTTGTTACACCGAGTATTTTGTTACACTGGATATTTTGTTACACAGAGTATTTTGTTACACTGTGTATTTGTTACACCGAGTATTTTGTTACACTGTGTATTTGTAACACTTCGTATTTTGTTACACGGTGTATTTGTTACACTGAGTATTTTGTTACACTGTGTATTTGTAACACTTCGTATTTTGTTACACTTCGTATTTGTTACACTTGGTATTTTGTTACACTGGGTATTTTGTTACACCAAGTATTTTGCTACCCCGAGTATTTTGTTACACTTCGTATTTTGTTACACTGGGTATTTTGTTACACTGAGTATTTTGTAACACTGGATATATATTTTGTTACACTGGGTATTTTGTTACTCTGGGTATTTTGTTACACTGTGTATTTGTTACACTTCGTATTTTGTTACACTGTGTATTTGTTACACTGAGTATTTGTTACACTGAGTATTTATTACACTGAATATTTTGTTACACAGAGTATTTTGTTACACTGAGTATTTTGTAACACTGGATATATATTTTGTTACACTGGGTATTTTGTTACACTGAGTATTTTGTTACACTGAGTATTTTGTAACACTGGATAGATATTTTGTTACACTGAGTATTTTGTTACACTGTGTATTTGTTTCACCGAGTATTTTGTTACACTGTGTATTTGTAACACTTCGTATTTTGTTACACGGTGTATTTGTTACACTTGGTATTTTGTTACACTGGGTATTTTGTTACACCGAGTATTTTGTTACACCGAGTATTTTGTTACACCGAGTATTTTGTTACACTGTGTATTTGTTACACTTAGTATTTTGTTACACTGTGTATTTGTAACACTTCGTATTTTGTTACACTTCGTATTTGTTACACTTGGTATTTTGTTACACTTGGTATTTTGTTACACCGAGTATTTTGTTACACCGAGTATTATTTTGATACACCGAGTATTTTGTTACACCGAGTACTTTGTTACACCGAGTACTTTGTTACACCGAGTATTTTGTTAATTTTATTCTAAAAAGCGTACAATAGTTCACTATTGATGCAGCTTGCCAATCCGGGAACTCCAATACATCGATGGGTTCTGCCTGGTACGCCAAAGGGATACGAGGTGTCAATCAAACGTGACGACATGACAGGCTGCACGCTCTCTGGGAATAAGGTAACATTTACTGTCATTCAGCAAACATGGTTAATCTCTCTATGCTTTAGGGAAAACGATCGGTGTTTTTTTTATGTTTATAAGAGGATGTTGAACGAATCCTGTTCATGTAGCATGCATTCACATGTAAACATATATCGATTACTCGTGGCAATGTTCTTGATGTACAACGTGGTATTATTGCATGACTAAGAATATGTTCTATTTTAAGTTATCGGGAGACAATACTTACCTTACCTATATGAACTTATTTTCTAAAGGTACGAAAACTTGAATTTCTAATGGCCGAGGCTTTAACCCGAAAATGTAGTCACGTGATCACGTGCGGAGATGTTCATTCGAATCATTGTCGCGCGACAGCCGTGGCGGCCCGTCAACTAGGACTCAAACCTCATTTACTACTAAGGACAGATTTACAGGTAGGTTATTATCTGTAATTTACCGATGGAAGTTTCTCTTTCCATGTTTTCTCTGCACCCCTGGTCATAGCAAAATTGATGGCACAGGGCTAGCTATGATTAGTCTCAAGTACAAAAAACTGAACAATTATTAGCCTTAAAGATTACAGAGGAGCAATTTACAGTCAGTAGACGCGAGCCTTTTTTGATGTCCATCACAGGATCAAATTAGTCTTGCTCTTGACTTCTGATTTTGCTTCGACATATTCCAGGGGTGCAGACTGCGTAAGTGACCGTAGCCCCCGGTGTATCGAGGATGCCCTACCACATGTCCTAGAAAGGACTATACGTCAGCACGGAATCGGTGACGTTAGTCCTTTCTTTTTTCGCTTCCTTTCTCTTTCTTTTAAGGCGGTGTCTCCCTAGGTTCCCGTCTTCACATGAATCCGAAACAACTAAACGTTATATTTATCAATCATCATCGTCTTGGCTTATAATAGCTATGCACGAACAATGATAAACAAACAACTTGAACCAATTTATAGTTTAGTCTTTTCCACTCACAAAAACCACGTACAAAGAAGACATGTAATGATAATCTGTGATTTACAATTCTTATAAGAAGTATTTATAAAACGCAAACCAGTTTTAAATGGGCAAGGGCGTTACCTTAAATTGTATGTGGATATTTGGCATATCTAGGTGCATTACATTTGATTCCTCTCTCAACAAACCAAATCTTGATGAAGACAACATACATTGATTAAGATTAAGATTTTTTGGTTTCCTCTTAGTATCAATAATTAGGATCATGGTACAAATATTTCATTTAAGGCAACTCTCTCGAGCATTGGTTATATTCACATATTCACCTATATATATTTATATAAGCTTTGAACATTAACAGAACGGTCATCATTATAATTTATTCTAATAATAAGTATTTTAATTATGTAATCAACATACATTAAAAATGCTAGAAGTCCTGCTTTGACACTTTCAGATAAACCTATGGCAATTTTAATGTATATTGGTTTCTATGATTAAAAGATTGATAAGGAACTCTTTAAAACGTTCTCCAAATAGTTATACATAATATATTTTTAGTTATTGATCTGACAGCTATTGTTTGTTTTTATCTTTTTGTCAAAAGATGTCCTGTTCTTTCTCTATCAACCTCTGCACCTTTTACTGGGTGAACACAATTAATTGACAAGCCATCAGTAAAAATATTTAAACAATTCAATGAAAGCAAAACCATCTCTTTTGTATTTCGGACGATATAGATAATCCTTTTATATCAAAAAGGTTTTATTCTTACCCAGGTTGCAAAATCAAGTACAAACTCACAAAAAAGAGCTTGTGTGAAATTATCGACCTGTCAGGGATTCGAAAATTTGTATTCTAAGGGTGTCGTGAACCTTTTGGAATCGACGAAAAGTTTTCCGCCTGTACTTCAACCATAAATATATGAAGGGGTTTTTGATTAGAAAAACACCATTGTTCTCCTCTCTTACCTTAAACTATATAAAGAGTGTGGTATTTTATCATTTGTTTCCCATCCATTGCGTGAGGCTTCGGGACAGAGCGGTAGTTACTATGTAATTGAGGCGAATGTACAACAAGCAATATTGTCATAACTTGATGGATTTTGCGGAAAGTCGCATATTTTTGGCGATTCTTAACAACCAAGGATGAGTTCACAAGATCACCAAGAGCTCACAATCATTTCTTGGAGCTGTATCCGCTTCCTTTATGTTAACTTAGTCCATGCCTTGAAACACTGGGTCTTTTGATCGAAACCTGGGCTAGTATACATGACAGCGTTCTCGTGCTTAAGCTTGGATTCTGTGTTCAAGCCGAATTTCTTGTTCCTGCTATAAATTAATAAGAAAAGCTTATTTTGTCAAAGATTTGGGAAAACATTGAAGAGACTTAATGCAGAAAATTGTTTCTATTGTTTTATTTGACTTTTTTATTGTTTGACATGATTTAAGCGAGTGACAAGAAAGTTGGTTTGCGCACAGAATTCACGCTTGAGCACAAGAATACTGGCCCTGATAGCCAACTAGCAATCAAACTTTTAGTCTGGTGGCTGATAACGGTCATCTCGTGCTGTCGTATTGTCGCGTTGTCGCAGTAAAATACACGACAACGCGACATTTTATTTGATGAAGTGATGTGGATATGGGGTGGGGTTGCTAAGGAAGTCCGCCATCTTGGATCCAAGATGGCGCCTTAGCAACCACATGAACCTACGGCCCCATATCTACATCACTTCATCATGTGGGTTTTTCTGCGTGTGACGTCATCAATTTTCGTGTTAACGACTGAGTGGGCTTTTTTGCGTGTGACGTCATCAATTTTAGTGTTAACGACTGAATTATCTCCCCTGGATATCTATATTAAATACTTCCCTTCTGGGTTTTAGGTATGCACGGTAATAGGACTACACTCGAGCGCTGGGCCCTATGAGAAAGAAGAAGAAGAATGAAACAGAATACATTTCACTGTACATATACTCAATAAAATATTAGTAGACACTCTCTCGGTTCTTCTGGTTTTTCCTGCTGTTACTCTGCTTTCTGTAGACTGTTTGCAATCATGTCACAGTGAAGACGAAGGACTCTGTTTCTCACAATAATGCGTTATTTACAATATAAATAAAATTCACGGCATATTTACGGTGTTTTCGAGTGTGGTATTAAATCGAGATGAACTTTCTTTTCGTGTAGGAAGTGAGTGTGTCGGTGCTGTAGCAGAAAGTGCAAGTCGATATGCGGTTTTTTTCTTCTAGATGTTTTGGGTTTCAATGTGGCTGATACTTTTACTTCCTTAAATCTGATTGGTCGAATTCTGATTGAGGGCGCATGGTCGCGGGTTCGATGCGCGCCGTTGTCATTTTTATTTTATTTTTTATTTTATTTTTTATTTTATTTTTTGTATAGAATCCTTCTTGATTTTTTCTAAGAAGTTTGAAACTAAGGTTATTTTAATAATAGATAGATAAATCGATCAATGTGAAAGAACGTATTTCGAGACTAAATTAAAACAAGTACGAAATATTTTTTTGATGTAAAAATATGCAGATACTGCTGATTCTGTATTGTATGTTGTCCACTATTTGTACACATTTGTCCCCTATTTGTCACCTATTTGTACACACTTGTCCACTATTTGCCCCTTTTTGTCTCTAGTTGTCCCCTAGTTGTCCTCTATTTGTCCCTATTTGTCCCCTATTTGTCCCTAGTTGTCCCTATTTGTCCCCTATTTGTCAACTATTTGTCCACTATTTGTCCCTATTTGTCCCCTATTTGTCCCCTATTGTCCCCTATTGTCCCCTATTTGTCCCTATTTGTCCCTAGTTGTCACCTAGTTGTCCCTATTTGACCCCTATTTGTCCACTATTTGTCCACTATTAGACCCTAGTTGTCCCTAGTTGTCCTCGTTCGTCATAAGTCTCAAAGTTTGACAGTATTTTGCTAATCGAGCTAAGGCATTCAACAAAGCAATCAATATGTGGCTACGGGTCCCCCGGGTTTTTTCCCCGTATTATCCGATCATAGTCGGGGGTATCATCAGTGCCCAACTGACTCATTGTTGCCCGCTTTAAATTTTTTTTAATTGATTGTTTTTTTAATTTTTTGTTTTGTTTTTTGTTTTCTTTTGTTTTTGTTTTTTTTCTTCTTTTTATTTGATACATTGATTGATTATAATTTACATAAGCAACCCCCCAGCCATCCCATGGATTTATTGGCAAACGAAGACATCACGAAACGATCGTTCTTACGAAGTCGTCTACGAAATACGTGTTGGCATGAAAGTCTTTTTTTAATAAGGACGTTATGTCGGACATCGTTTTTCCTTTACATCTCTGAACTATGTAGAAAATGCAATGTTGCCCGCACACTAACGAGTGGAGGTGTTGTACTCTAACGTCGTTGTACGTCCAACTTCGACACTGTCTGTCCATGAAATTAGTGAATACTTTGTTCGTCGGCGGAAATCCGAAGGGATCGTAATATTCTCCGTGGCCTTCACCGTCTATGTGCACCGCAATCCAGTGTTCACCCTCAAGTGTATCGGGATCTGTGTTACACACGAGTGCACACGGCACGTTTAATCGTCTCGGTAATCTGTTTCTGGCGTACACGCCTTTGAAATGAGGACAGTTTTTGTTCAAGATGGAATCTATTTGAATGGTATTCATCATGCGCTGTAATCGAATAAAATCTGTCTGTTACGGTCGATTTCTATGATGTTGTCAAACTCTGCATACACTATGACGTTGATCGTCGCTGTTAAAATCTCGTTGAAATGAAGGTGTAGACTCATGTTTCCGCTTTTTAT